ACCCGCTTTTTATCAAATCTAGGCAAATAATCGTAACTAATAATATCCAAGGTCTTAGTCAACGATAGTTGCATGAAGTGACTAGGTGGTCCTCTTCTTTATCTAACGTTAAGCGAAAACTCTGGTTCACCAGTGAGCTATTGGCCTCCACGTGTATCAGATAGGATGAGTCTGAACTGCTTTCAACGGAGATTTAAGGACTGATAGTTGTTTTTTTCACATAATATCATGAATTAGCCTCATGATCCCACTGAATTTCGCTACGCCTTGCCTCCCAAAAGTTTATTTAACCGGGTTTGACGGCAGTTTCGACCTTGCCTCAAAGAAAAAGCTCAACTATCGGACTTTAAACCACCCTAAGCAACCTATTGGGAGTAGGTGCTTAATCACAAATTACTCATAGTGTAGTAGCTACTCAAAGTGAGAGTAAGTGACGTCGTCAAGTGTAATGGCGACCACATGATTGCTCAATCCCCCAATAAATGTTAGTTGGCTCAGGCCTGGGCAGCCTTGAATTTCGCATCTACTCTGTAACCGACTGACGCCTGTGGCAACATCGCCACGATACTCAAGGCCCGGTATCGAGTCCCGCTGGGGACGTTGATGAGACTAGGACTAGGTCGAACCGACAGCCCGCATTGGATGAGATAGATTTTTGAGAGGCATGACTAAGTAATATTTACTGGCAGTCTGAGGCCAACTAATCCGCCATGGATAGACCACTTGGCCAAGCTTGAATATGCACACAATATTTTTGGTATTTAAGTGGAGTTTCGAGACTACCAGTAAATCAGTAGTATGAGATGTATTCACCCTATTTCGCTTAAGGTGATGAAGGACTAGTAGTAGAATTTTTCACAATTATATAAGTAGAGTTGAGTTTTCCATTTAATTCCGCATATCCTTGCTTTCCCATTGATTTGATAACCTATACTTTAACCTCGTTAATATGATCAGAAAAGAAATTAAGAAATAAAACGGCATTTGTGGGTTTCCAATATACATCCTTATCAAATTTGTTTACGTTGCTAACGGAGAAAAAGAAAATAGGAAAAGTAATGCATTTCTTCAACACAATGCTGGGCCTCCAAATGCATAAGGTCTGCTCAGGACTTACAAAAATTGGATTATCGTATGAGGGTTCGCTGCATGCTCCATGAAGCAGTTTCTTAAGCGTGACTCTGTTGCAAAAAATAAACCAATTTAAGGCCCAAAAGGGAATATGGTGCTAGAAAATTTGACTATAAGCTGAAATATTCTAACCTTATTCGGAAGTATGTCATTGTTAGTATGACTTTTCCAAAGATCATAAGGTGAGTTTACTTTCCAAACTAACCATAGATTGGTCGCGAGCAGTGATGAATCATGGACTGAGCAGTTCGGGATGTTTTACGATTTTTGAGACTATCGTGTATTCTACAAAGAAGAAATACACTTCTACCAATGCCTATGCAGATTTTTTATGCAAGTTTTCATTCAGGAGCTTTAGCTTCGTGGTAAAAGATATTGGGGAAAATCTCACTCCGTTTAGAAAAACCGATTTTCAAGAAATTTTAACATCTCAAAGTAAACTTTTGAATTATTCATTTTATAGCAGAGGCTGAATGGGCCTATTTCAACAGTACTCTTGTATCATCCGCGCCTTCTCCCTGAGATAGAGTAAATATGTCTACAGCATGGCTGTAAAAAGTAACTTGCTGGGCTATAAACGCGATGTAAAACTCACAGGTATATGTCTCCGTTTTTTGGGAGCCATCGAACGCAGGCTCCTGATCCCAAGATGTCCGAAGATCAATTGGCTTCTCCGTCAGATGTTTTGTAATAGCAACCGAGTTGGCCAGCTTGGGACGTGTTTTCGGAGGAGATAGGAACTAAGTTATAAAAGGAAAAAGGGGAAATGATCGAATGATTGAGGATGAATTAAAACAAAAGCAATTCAGATAGTACGATTAGACAAAAGTTACAGTTATGTAAGTAGGGTAACATTAATTAATTTAAGGTATGAAGACCAAGATGGTGTGGCCTTTTGTGTGGTCGCAGTCTCCTTTCGTTGTATAGA